GATTAGAGGATATCTGGATCCATATTGTAAGGCTGTCCCACATAATGAGGAAAAGTTGAGGTGCTTTGCTGTTCTTTTGTTCCACTCTTAGTTTCTGTGGAGAACTTGCCAATGCAATATTACTGTCATCTTTTTATGGGAAATCAAACTAAAAAAATGGTAATGGTTGTTGAAAATAGCAATTCTGGTCCTAGTTAGCATTGGGAAGAGGCCAGCATTTGTTATTAAATTTTAGCTTACTTTTTCTACAGCAAATTATAGTGGAGACTTGGGAGAAATGAAGTAACAGAGAGTGGCCCAAACTGAACCTGAGTATTCCTGAACTTTGAGGATGTTCAAATCTGGAAGGCAGGTGCTAGATTCCCTTTCTGAATATTAGACAAATCTGGAAAAGAAGCTCAGAAATGGAAATTGAGTCACATCCTCGTGCATGCCTGGTACCTAAAGCTGCCCAGGTCCTCAAGTAGAACCTCTCTTTCCTTTCTTACTATTTTAACTTCTCCTGGTGGGGTCCACATACCTCTGACCCTTGCTAGGCTTCAGGTAAAGATGCATTGTCTATTCATTCCACCCAATTCCTTCGCTGGGGGCTGCCAGCCAAGGCCACCACTATTGCTAATCCAGTTTGGGGAAGTCTCCTGAGAGCGATAGCTGGGCCGACGCCTTGTGCATACATGTTCCCCACTCGCAGCACCGCTGCCCGCTTCTAGCGGCCGGCTCCCCACTCACCGCAAGCTCAGGGCGTCAGGTCGCACCAGCCGGGCAGCTACCCCTCCCTTTCCGGTTGGTAGCAGCCAAGGGCATGCTGGGAGATGTAGTTCCTTTTCTGCTCCAGGGCCGGCTCGCCAAAGAGCTGCGGGGTCCCTCGGCCTCCGGCCTGGATCCATGCGGGCAGGGGCGAGAGCTGGGGCGCTGGTGCCTGTCTGGGGCCGCGGCGGGGGTGCAATGTCTCATACCGGGGGTGGCCTCCTGCCCCAGGGCTGCCCGGGAAGGGTTTGCTCTGGGGCTGTGGTAACCGGGTACCGCCCCTCGCCCGCTACCAGGGAGCCGTAGGTCTTCGCGGGCCGCGGCTGGCGCGAGCCCCCTCCCAGCAGCGCTCCTGGGCGAGCCCCGCGCGAACAGCCACGTCCGGGTCAACCTTACAGTCTCCGGCACGGGATGGACTTTTGCGCATGCGCTCTCCTCTACCCCCGCCCCTAGAGCGCGCCGGCTCGCAAACGTCCTCGTGCGCGGGGGGCTACGGCCGTAGCTGCAGAAACCAACCTCCTGATAGGTCGCGGGCGAAGCTCGCCTTGGGGCCCGGGCTCTGCTTCCAGAGCAGCCGGGAGCTCGGCAGGCCCGGGTGAGTGTCGCGGCCGGGGTTCCCTGTCCGGCCCCACCCCCACCGCAGTCTCCCGGCGCGTAGGCGGGGCTAAGCTGGCTGGAAAGAAGGCGGGGGCCAGAGATTGGTTGTGTTATGGTAGCACCTAGAGGTGCTCCCTGTGACCAGGCCTCCTTGTGCTGGGCGCTCTGCAGACACCGGGAGAGTCTGCCGTCTGAATGACAGTGGGAGGGGGAGGGGGAGAGGAGCAGTGAATTGTGCAGGGCAGGTCAGAGCTGGGAATAGAAACTGGGTCTCCTGACTTTCAGTCCAGGGCCTTATTTATTAGCCAGCGCCTTCTTTGGCACTTCTCCAGCCCTCCAGCGACTCTGGGAAACATCTAAGGGGATTAGCTTGTTTGAAATACCACCTGCAAATAAAGTTCTGCTGTATTATGATGACGTGTAGGTGGGAACTGATGACACTAGGGAGGCTGGGGGTTTGGACGGGGGTACTAGGAAAGGGTAATATGTGGTGGTGGACTGGGAAGGGCAGGTGATGCTTTTCTGGTTGTTTTTATGCTGTATCCCAATTCTGTTCAGAAGCTGATGTGGCAGCTGTAGCCATGTGGTCAGCTGATGAAGTTGCTGGTCTGTGCTACACACATTATAGCACCAAGCTTCCTAAGCAGGGGAAGCCGGATCCTAACCGGGAGTGGACTTTACTGGCAGCTGTGGTTAAAGTGGAGTCTGCACCTGAAAGAGAGGCTTGCCTTAATGTTGGGAATCTGCAGGGTGAGAATGCATCTTCCTTTCTCAGTAAATGCCTGTTATGTGATTTTAAAGGTGACCTGTAAAGGAAAAAAATTGTGAGTTTTTTGCCTAAAAAGTGTTTGAATTCTTTCTCTTACTTTTATCCTAGAAACATCAGGGATGTTAAATATTCTTTTCCTGTTTAGTGGAGATCTCCACTGGAGGACCCTGAGAAGTAAAGTGAGATCTTTTGCAGATCTTATTTGAAAGGACAGGGATGTGACTCTAGCAAAATTATCTTCTCTCAGGAAAAATGGAGTACATAATTATTGCTAGCCCAGTATCCTGTCTCTGACAGTGCCCATTTTCGGCTGCTTTACAGAAAGGTCTGTGAAACCCTATAATGAAAAATAATGGCATAATCTGCACAAAGGAAGATGTCCCTTCCTTTCTGTTTATATCACCTAGAGTTTTGTTGTGCCACACATCATTGTATTGTCTGATCACTTCCCATGTAAAATAGACTGGCAATAGCAAAGTTCCTAGTGGGCTTTACAGAGTGTCTTACTCTTCTCCCTTTTTTGGCTTTTGAAAACTCTGCAGGGGCCGGCGGTTTGTAATGTGTGTTTTGTGAGTGTGGCAGATAGGAGGGGTTGTTGGTGTTGCCAATATCAGTCTTGTCTTGGTGGAAGGGCTCTTTCTGGAGGAAGGTTTTGCAACACTTGTGAAGGGGCTTGAACTCTGCAGTCTTCTGCTCTCTGGAAGCTTGTTCCATAGCCACATCTCTTTGATTGAGACCACTTTGTCCCTGGCTGTCACATGCTTTGTTCTGGACTTTCTGATTTGCATTGGCCCAACTCTCTTGGCATTTTACAGTTTGGAATTTGATCTCTAATGTAACTGGTCTTGAGTCATTAATTGGTCCTCATCTTCAAGCAGTCTTAAAACTGGCATTGGAAATGGACTGGGAGCCAGTGGAGGGACAGTGCCATGCGGTTAATGTTCTCATGGCACCCTAAACCATGGAAGAGGTGGACAACCGCAGTTTGCATCAGCTGGAGCTGTTGCATTATTCTTACATTCTGCTTCAGACACAGTGAATTACTGTAATCTAGCCTGGAGGTGACAAATGTGTGCATCATTGTGGTCAGATCCTCATCTGGGAGGAAAGGGAGGAGTTACCTAGTAAGCTGGAGGTGAAAAGTGGCATTTTTAGATACTGATGCGACCTGGTCATCCAGGGTTAGTGGGAAGTCTTCACATCACTTTGATGAATGGACATTGTGTGCTTTCAGCGAGAGGGTTCTTCGGTGTTACTCTTTCCGAGCAACTCCACCAGATTTACTAGCCTCACCAGGGTGAGACTGTGTCCCAGCTCATTCTTCAGTGTTTCCCCATTCTGTCCAGCATCACTTCCTGTCCCACATTCTAACCCTCATCAGGTAGTGGTTGATTTACATCCTAAAGCATGAGAGATTAGACTGTCATATAATGTGGATGTTATCATTATTCATATTAATGTTTAATCCTCTTAAGTCCTTGGCGACATCTTGTGGCAGAGAGTTCCACATGTCAGTTGTTCAATGTGCACAAGTATTTTATCACTTTTTAAATGTAAAGGAAGGAAAAAGCTAGAACTTTCTCCCAATAGGCAGCTGACCCACCAGGAAATGTCTGTACTTACTGCGGGCGGATCTGTGGTTCCAGGATTGGACTCCTGAGTCATCTCGGGACCAATATGTAAATCAGTGGTAGAGATGATCCTTGAATTGAGGGATCACCGATGATGAAATGTACTGCCTTTCGATTTCAGTGAATGTTCCTTGTTCTTGTATTATGAAAGAGCATAAACAAGTCCCCAACTGACCTTCTGTATACCATTAATTGTTTTATATGCATTTATCATATCCCCTCTCTGAATGAAACAGTCCAAGTCTCTTCAATCTGTCCTTATACAGAAGTCTTTCCAAGACTCTAGTCATCCTTGTTGCCTTTCTCTGGAACTCTTCTATTTTGCTATATCTTTCCTGAGAAGAGGTGACTAGAAATTAACACCATGTTCAGGGTGCTATGAATCAGGATTCGGGCCTTGTTGTGCTGGGTGCCGTAGCAATGCATATGAAGAGATAGACTGCACAGTCTGAGGCAGGAACTAGGAAGACAAGTGACTACAAAGGATGAGGGGACAGGATCACAGTGAAATACATACCATTTTTATGGAGTTTTGCAGCTGTAGGACCTGTTTGGAGAGTGGAAAAAGAGGATCAATTGAAAGAAACTGAAGGAGTGATCTGAGAGGAGAATTGTGAGAGGACAACCACAAAAGCCAAGATGGTGAGATTTCAGAGTGTTACAGAATTACAGGCTCTGGGTTTGGGCCAAGAAAAGGCAATAGAAATCTTGGGGAGAGAAGTTTCATTGGAGCTGAGGGGATAGAAGTCAGACTGGAGGGGGGTCCAAGATGGAGCTGCAGAAGAGGAACTCTAGACAGTGGTTGCACATGGCATGTTCTCAAATTTGGAGGTGAAGGGGAGAAGGAGATAGGGTGGGCAATATTTGGAGAGGCAGGTGAGGTTGAGGGATGGCACTTTCAGCATTCTCATGTTGTGAGGGGAAGGGGTTAGGGGCGAGTGAGATTAAAGAGGAGTGTGAGGGAGGGATGAGGGGGCAAAGGAGGTCATGAGGCAGGAGGGGGATGGATGTGGTCACTGTTGCATGTGGAAGGTTTAGAGGAGGAGAGCAAATGACAAACCTCTGTCAGTGATGAGGGAAAATATGGGGAAAGGAGATACAAAGATTTTGTGGTAGATTTTTGTCAATCTATTTGAAAGAGCAAAATTTTGCGTAGAGAGGGTGAGGGAAGGAGGGTTTAAGGAAGGTGTCAGACATAGTGACTTGGCAGCTGGGATTGTGGATGTGGCCAGGTCACCACTCTCCCCTTTCTCCAGATCATTGTTAGATATATTTTAACACTAGTCTTAATATGGATCCTTGGTGCAACTGCGGTTAGCCACTTAATCATGGGAAGTGGTTGGTTATTTCTGCTTTGTTTCCTGTCTTAGACTCCCCATGTTGCTTATAATTTATTGGGACTTTCATTAATGACCTATCAACATGTTCTCCTGTATCCTCTGTTTTCTTGACATGCTCAAAGATTGAAGAGGCACAGTTTTCCTTTACAGAAGCTGTGCTTTTTTGTCCCTATAGTATCCTCTCTATCTTGGGGTTGCATAAGTCTGTAGTCATCACTTCAGCTGCTTTACATATTACTAAAGTAAAAGTTGCTGGTCTATAATTCCCAGGATCACTCTTAGTGCTGGACAGAAAGACGTTTGCTACTTTCCAGTCCCCTGGCATAATAATTGATTTTTAATGAGTGCATATTTTTGGTAGTAGCTCATCCACTTCATCCTTAAGCTCCTTCTGAACTCCTGGATGTACCTGCTGCTGGTTAATTTATCAGTGTCTCCTTTGACACCCCAGTCTCCGACGATGCCACATTTACCTTTTCTGTGGTGTCCTTGTCCTCTGTAATTGCTTAATCTGGTGATTCAGTGGAACCACCAGGTTTTTGTGGGCTTCGTATTTCTGATGTACTTAAATTATGTCTTTGGCTATTTGTTCTTCCAATTCTGTCTTAATTAAAGTGGAAGTTACAGAAGTGATTACATGCTGTAGTTTATGTCTGGCTTGGGCTGGATTTCCATTTTCTGATGGATGCTTGCTTTGATTTGCATAACTTCTTGAACCTTGCCAGTTAACCATAATGGCTTAATTTTTTGCTTTCCAGCTTCTTTTTTGTTTGGGGCATACATGTCTTCTGTATCCCTCTTTCTAGTTTTTTATATTCTTCCCAGGATAATATTGAAGAAATTATCTCCTGATCACTTTTGCTTCAATTCCTCAGCTACAGTTACTTCCTGAACCAACTCCTTACACCCCACTCCTACACATAGCCTCTCCTCTGTGCACTTTGGAGTTAGCTGTTCCAAGAAGCAATCATTTAAGCTGTTGAAAAATTGCAGTTTAAGTTTTCAGAAGTGGGTAATGATTTTTTTTGAGTGCACAACTTGATGCATCTTAGAGGTGCCTGCTTTTCAGACAGTGCTGAGCACCCACCCTTTTAAAGTGTCTCTGGGCATCCAAAATCGCTAGTCACTTAGCAAATGTAGACCTTCTCTACCATGTGTTCTGATGTGAAACTGACCAATTAGCATGCAGTGAAATAGGCAAGACCTAAATTTCTGAGTAAAAAAAACCAAACCCACACTTTGACATTCTTCATAAGAATCCAAAAAAGGATACTAACCCAATTTATTTTTTCTTAGCAAGTCTCCTTTAAAAGGGGTTAAGGGTAAACCTGCCGCATCAGCATCTCCTTTGTGCTATGCATTGTATGGTGCATTTCCCTTATGTCGTCTTCCCTATTTGGGGGTCCCTGAATTGATGGTCACCTTGTGTTGTCTGTGTGTAGGACCTCATGTCAGTGCTCCCCTCTTCCCTTGCCACATGCCATGTCTTTCCCCCTACACTGGTGCTGTGCCTGGTACGTGACTTTCCTCATTTCAGTGTGTGTCTGGTAGTCTGGTACATAGCCTCCCCCTCCAGTGGGGTGTGTGTGTGTGTGAGAGACAGGTGTTACTTCATCCTTCCTCTTGTACCTTGTCTCGTGTGGTGCCCCCATGTGCTGTCTGATTGAAATGATCAAATTAGGGTGATTCTTTTAGAAGTGGTTCAGCTAACTTTAGTATTTTCTTTTTCAGTAACTAAGGAAGTTGTTGCTATGGGGACTGGAACTAAGTGCATTGGCCATACAAGAATGAGGAAAACTGGTAAGTATGGTGTAGAAACCAAGACTACCGATCTTGGCCTCTTTATTACTTGTCATTGGCTTGAGCTCAGCCTCCTGAAATGCAACAACAGTACAAGACAAAGTCCCAACCCTATAGGGTTGGGTAGACAGCATTACCATCTAGGTTTGCTGCACTGAGCTTCCACTATCTGCAGCCCTTAAGAGAAACTGACAAAAGCCATATAAATGGACATTGTCAGGTAGTGTAGGTCCCAAATGTACACGTGTTTACAAAAACAACAAAAAAGGCAAATCTTGTTTTCTAGTCTGATTCCTTCAGAGCCTATTGTGAAAAACACCACAGTAACCAAGCTCCAGAAAAGTGAGAGAAAACGCCTCTTATTTAGCTGTAATCAGCAGCTAGATACCGCACTGATTTCTCTATAAGTAACTGAGAGCTGCTGTGAGAAGTTATTCATCCTGTCTCCTCCCTTACTATGCATATTCATAACAGAGGAGGACCAGACTGCACTTGGCTACTCCTCCTTGGAGAGTGGGGGGGCCACAGAGACTCATGTCAGGAAGTATCCTGGGCAGGAGACATGGCCAAGAGCCTTTCAATACAAGGCTCTTTACCTCTACCTCTGGATTCTGGGGAAGACAGTATAGCAAGAGAAGAGAGCAGGTCTGGCAAAGCTGTTTCTGTGCTCTATTGTGCATTTTGCGTATAAACACATTTTGAAGCCTTTTTATTTTTTGCCTTGCACTAAATGCTATGTCTTGGATTGCTTATTATGGATCTTTCTGGGGTCAGCACCACCACAATGTAATATTGATCTGGATGGTTTCATTATTTATTTTTACATTTTAAATAAAAACAGTTTTCTAACTTAATTTTTTTTATTGCATTGGTTGCAACCAATATGATGTCTTGTAAGATCTAAAGGGTGACATTTACCAGACATATGAGTGAAATTGAGTAGGTTTTTTCATCATCTAAGTTGAGTGCAATGAAACTTAAACAAAGAGAGCCACTGTTGAAAAGTCAACTAGATTTTAAAATTAAATTTTGCTTTAATAATCTCGGGTAGCATTGGTAACCTGACAAATCTATTAAGAGAATAGGGAAAGTTTCTTTGGTGCTATTAGCAATCTCAAAAACCTATACGTCTAAGGCAAAAAGACAACTAGAATGTATATGGATTTTGTGATATTTAAGTTTAATAATTTAATAAAGTGCATTTTAAAAAGTGCAAGAGATTACAGTGAAATGCATTATACAGTACAGTGATGAAAGTGCATATGATTGCATTAAAATGTAAAGAAAGCAAGGATATGTGCTTTAAAGTGCTTTACATAGATATGTGATTGGCAAAAAGGACATTTCTGAGAACCTAAATGGTTTCTTTGCATCATTCTTCGCCTTCAAAAAGGAGAGTCCTACCCCACATCTGCTGTTTCCTGGTAACAAAGCAGAGGTAGTCTCAGATCTTGAGATGACAGGAGAAGAGATGCTAGAGCAAATCAGTAATATTAAATGCAGTAAGTCACTAGGCCCAGATGGTCCATCATCAAGTTCTGAAGGAGCTCAAATATGAAGTATCTGAACTGCTCACAAAAATATGCAATCTTTCATTAAAAACAGCTACTGTTCAAGAGACTTGGAGAGTAGCAAATGTTGTTGTCCTTTCAAAAAGGCTCTAGGGCAGGGGTTCTCAACCTTTTTCTTTCTGAGCTCCCCCCCTCCCCCCAACATGCTATAAAAATTTCAGGGCCCAGCAAGGGAGGTGGGGGACTTGGGGCTCTGGGCCAGGGGTGGGCCCTCGGGCATAGGCATAGTTTGACTTCTATTTTGGGGGGGCAGGGGCCGGCAGGGCTTGGCCAGCTCTGCAAAGTGGGGTCCAGGAAGGCAGTGCCACCTCTACCCCCTGACTCACTTCAGCAGGCCACCCAGCCTGTCTGGGTTGTGTGTGGTGGGGGTTCAGCTCAAAAAGTTTGAAAACCACTCAGGGTACAGGGAGGGGGTAGCTAGGGGCTGTGTGCGGGCAGGGGGTAGCGCAGGGTTGCAGTGAGGGGGTAACTAGGGGCTGTGTGCCTGGAGGGCTCCCCTGTGGTCACTGCTTCCCAAGGGCTCTGCTGGCCACGGAGAGGGTCCCCCTGCCTGGGTGGCTCTTACCAGCTGCTTGAGCTGAGGAGCAGCACCAACCCTGGGCACCAGCAACAGCGGCAGATGGGGGAATGCTGTGGCTGCCTGCTCCATAGTACCATCCAGAGCAGTAGCTGCCCACACTGCCCATTCCGGCTTCCCGCCTCTGACCTGGCCAAGGAGTGGGGCCTCAGGGGCGGGGAGAGGAAGAGGGATATATGTGGAGCTGCTCCTGGGACTGCCCCACTCTGGCACTGCAGTGAGGGTGGCAGGGTGGGAACCAGTGCTCAGGGTTTCAGCCCCACAGTTCAGGATTTCAGCCCTGTGGTGGGGAGCACAGGGGCATGGGGTTTCAGCCCTGCGGCAGGAGGCGCTGGGGCTCGGGCTCTGGGTTTCAGCCGCGGGGTCCCGTGATCCCCCTGAAAGGGCTCATGTACCCCCATGGGGCCACGGACCCCCCTGGTTGAGAACCACTGCTCTACGGGTAATTTGGGGCAATATAGACCAATTAACTTTACATCTATACCTGGCAAATTAGTTCTGTTTTTAAATTTTTGATTCAACCAACAAAACACCCAGAAGATCATGATATAATAGGGTCTAACCAGCATGGATTCTGCAGAGGAAAATCTCATTAATCTCTTAGAATTTCTTGAACATATCAATAAAGTAATGGATAAAGGGGAAATAGTTGGCCTAATTTATTTAGCCTTTCAAAAGGGCCCTCACTAGAGGCTATTAAAGAAGCTATGTAGTCATGGTGTGAGAGGCAAAGTATTGTCATGGATCAAAAACTGTCTAGGAGACAGAAAGGAAAAAGGACTAAATGGTCAGTTTTCATCATTGAAAAAGGTTAACAGTGGGGCCTCAAGATTCTGTACTAGGTCCCATGTTTAATATTAAATGATCTCAAAACTAGGTAAGTGCTGAGGTAGCAAAATTTGGGAATATCTGGGGATCACTGTAGACTGCTTAGAGACCTCTGCATCAAAAAAGCAAACAAGGTTCAGATGCATGAGGAATGGCATGGAGAATACCAAAAATAGTATTCCTTTATATAAATCGGTGATGCGACCTGTGCAGTACTGGGTCCCCCCTCCCAATATTTCAGAATGGGAGGGGTTTCAGAGAAGAGCAAACATGATGAAGGCCCTGGAAAAGTCACATGAAGAGAGATTGAAAAGATTGGTATTGTTTACCTTAGAGAGGAGATGATTAAGAGGGGACATGATAAAAGTACATAAAATAATGAATGGTCTATACAAGGAAGAGCAGGAGCTTCTGTTCTCCTTGTCTAATAACAAGAACAAAGGGACATTCAATGAAATCAAAAGGTGGGAAATTAATAACTTATAAAAGGAAACACACTTTCACACAATGTGCAATTACACTGTGGAAGTCAATGCTGCAAGGAGTAATTTGAAGTTGAGAACTTTAGATTTAAAAAGGGATTGGACATCTATATGGATACCAAGACCTATCCAGAGGTCATACTCTAAAATTAATTATGCCTAATTTTGGAAGAGTTATTCAACCTTGTGGTTCAGGCCTTAAGTCAGTCTCTAACTAGTAAAGACCAGGATGAGAT